TAACCACAACAAGCTTACCTTCACTGTAGGTCTGACGCCGATCTAACCACAGTGAGCTTACCTTCACTGTAGGTCTGACACCGATGTAACAACAGTGAGTTTACCTTCACTGTAGGTCCGACACCGATCTAACCAGTGAACTTACCTTCACCATAGGTCTGACGCCGATCTAACCAGTGAGCTTACCTTCACTGTAGCTCTAACGCCGATCTAAACGTTGAGCTAACGCAGCGACATGACCGCAATTAAATGAATCAGTTATGATTTGTTAATGTCTTAATTTTTCACATCTACACGTTATCTCAATACTAATACTTTATAGCACAAGGGAGAGAACTCTTACTTAGACATTGTGTAACACCAGTACACCTTTATTTGCTGTCATCGTACTATTGAAAGACAGAGTAGCCTTAATCATTCTAATGGTAAATTGGAAGCGATGAGAACAAATGTTCGATTTCCTGGGAGAGTCGCTTTCAAAAGGCAAACATTTATTTGGACATTTGTTTGGAGATTAAAACCTGCATTTGGTGATGTTTTCAAGTATTCATACAGTATATCTAATCTTTTTATTCTCATCAGGCCTCACCTAAGTAGATGTTTCTGGGGTTCTCATCAGGCCTCACCTAAGTAGATGTTTCTGGGGTTCTCATCAGGCTTCACCTGAGTAGATGTTTTTGGGGTTCTCATCAGGCCTCACCTGAGTAGATGTTTTTGGGGTTCTCATCAGGCCTCACCTAAGTAGATGTTTCTGGGGTTCTCATCAGGCCTCACCTAAGTAGATGTTTTTGGGGTTCTCATCAGGCCTCACCTAAGTAGATGTTTTTGGGGTTCTCATCAGGCCTCACCTAAGTAGATGTTTTTGGGGTTCTCATCAGGCCTCACCTGAGTAGATGTTTCTGGGGTTGTCATCAGGCTTCACCTGAGTAGATGTTTCTGGGGTTCTCATCAGGCCTCACCTAAGTAGATGTTTCTTGGGTTCTCATCAGGCCTCACCTGAGTAGATGTTTCTGGGGTTCTCATCAGGCCTCACCTAAGTAGATGTTTTTGGGGTTCTCATCAGGCCTCACCTGAGTAGATGTTTCTGGGGTTCTCATCAGGCTTCACCTGAGTAGATGTTTTTGGGGTTCTCATCAGGCCTCACCTGAGTAGATGTTTTTGGGGTTCTCATCAGGCCTCACCTGAGTAGATGTTTTTGGGGTTCTCATCAGGCCTCACCTGAGTAGATGTTTTTGGGGTTCTCATCAGGCCTCACCTAAGTAGATGTTTTTGGGGTTCTCATCAGGCCTCACCTAAGTAGATGTTTTTGGGGTTCTCATCAGGCCTCACCTGAGTAGATGTTTTTGGGGTTCTCATCAGGCCTCACCTGAGTAGATGTTTTTGGGGTTCTCATCAGGCCTCACCTAAGTAGATGTTTTTGGGGTTCTCATCAGGCCTCACCTAAGTAGATGTTTTTGGGGTTCTCATCAGGCCTCACTTAAGTAGATCTTTTTTGAGTTTTAGACAAGTTAGAATCAAACACACTATGCAAATGTAGTTGTACATAATATTACAAGGTTTCTGGATCAAAACATTTCTGTGTCCAAGGCCACTCATTTTCTTTTGAGTGCTATTTGTTGTTGTTGTAGTTAAGATGGGTGGACAAACAGAGAGGTGATGGACAGACAGACATACAGGATGATTCTTACATCTATTAAACTTGTTTTCTGTAGGTTTGTAGTAACAAAAGAATAACAGCTATTATACACCAAGAGTGTTTAAAAAAACATGTATTCATCATCAATAAAACATATGACAATCAGGTCTGTTAAACATGACATCAATGTGTGATTACTGGAATCTCAGTGACTTCCAAGTCTTACAAGGATCCACATGTTACACAGATTTAAGTTCTGGAATCTCAGTGACTTCCAAGTCTTACAAGGATCCACATGTTACACAGATTTAAGTTCTGGAATCTCAGTGACTTCCAAGTCTTACAAGGATCCACATGTTACACAGATTTAAGTTCTGGAATCTCAGTGACTTTCAAGTCTTACAAGGATCCACATGTTACATAGACTTAAGTTCTAGAATCTCAATGATTTCCCAGACTTACAAAGATCTACATGTTACACAGACTTAAGTTCTGGAATCTCAATGATTTCCGAGACATATGTGAATCAACATATTAGAGACATTACATATAACATGTAACAACAAATTCAACTGAAATTTTAGTCATGTAGCATGAAGTTTGACAACTTTTGATCGCATACTGTCTTCTTGGGTATCAGATTTTAGTGTGTGATGTACTCAACACCAGAACTCATGTGAAAAGAAAAATGGTTACTCCTTTATGAACTATCTACTTTCCAAATGAAAATAACTATGACAGAGCTAAACAAACACAATGGGTTATAAATGCAATGAAAAACAATAGACATGTACATTGTACCTTATACATTGAATCATGCAGTTCCTTTACACTTGAAGTGTAGAAGACACTAAAGTTCAAAATGTGCACATCATAATTAACTAACCTATATATTTGTATGCTTCATGGTTCATGAGAGGCACTCATACCGGTTGCACCAACTTAATGCACAACTTCAACAGAGAATTCAAAATAATATTTGCCCATACAGTGGAATACATGGTTAGAATCTGTATATTTTTCCCATGCGTTTGATTTCGTGCAAGCATAGTTATACTTAAAATTAGACTCTTCACAAAATTAGAACACTTGTTGTTGTGTCTACCACCCATCACTGTTTTGATTGGCGATAGCTGAGTCCACCACAGGACTTTTCGGGACCTCATTTTAACATGCCGTTTTGATATGATTTCTACTATGTATAATTATGTACTTAGCTAAATCTTAATTTGCCAGCCATGTTTTAAATCTTACTTTATAAAATGACCTTGTTTCATGCTATATGCATGCCAGAGAAAAAAATTATAAATGAATCTTAATTAATCTAAATATAAACTGCATGCGCAAAGACATTGTTTATACTCTCCAAATGATAATGATATGAATAAGTGTTTGGTCAATCCTATTTTGTTTTCATTTTTTGACATTAATAAAATGATTATACAAACTTAACAGAAAGTACACAATTCTTAATGGATATCAAATCTTATAATGTTTTTATGAAATGAATATCTAACCATTTAGTCCCTTAAAAGAATCTATAAGCTATAGTTTCAGTTGTTGTTTCTAAACTGAAGTTTATAGCTAATTACTAATACATTTTACAGTGAATGTTCTCCATTTATTTCTTGGCATTGGATCTTTTACAATATGTCTGAACAGCTGGTAATACATCCATTACTTTAGGAAGGTTAAAACATGAAGAATTAGGAGGATCATCAATCTAAAATATTAGAAATCAACGATCTTGTCTACTGCACTGTATTACTTCATTCCATTAGAACTCCTAATTGATAGCTGTGCAAAATATACAGATACATATTGTGTCCGTTCATAAAAATAGATTTTCTTCAGATTTCAAATTCATTCTGCTTTTGATGTTGACTTTTCGAAGAAAAACAAAGCAAGTGCTTATACCCATTTTGATACAAAAAGTGACAACCGATGAGCATGCATGCATATACAGTTATATATAACATGTACCTCCAAAGTTTACCAACCAATGAACATTTGTATACAAGTTTATGTAGCAATACAAAACACAGTAATAGTACATTTTGTTCACCTTTTTCAAAAGTATCAATGTTAGGGACACCTCCAGGTGAACAAACTTAAACTCTGTGTCAGGCTAGTTGTAAGCGTAGTATAACTTGCATAACACTTCAGTTATAGGTAAACTGTACACTGAACAAGTCATGACTAACAGTACAAATACACCTTACTAAGCCATGATTAGTTCACTCACATTCACTGTACATAAACAATTGACAAAGCCATCTGTTTAAAATACAAAATGATAATTCCTTGTTTCCAGATTTCTTGATATTTTTTATTTCTTTGCAACATTGAAACTGTCTCAAATAAACTAATAAAAAAATGAAAGTGATGAAGGATTTCAGCACTTCTAATGAAGTAATAAAAACATGAGATTGTTTCTGTGTCTGACAGCTGATCTCAACATTTTGGCTGTTGTTTTAAATCTATTTAGCCTGATGCTCAAATGGATCTGATGCTCTGATGGCTGTCAAATTGCTGTCAGATGGAAACATGAATTATTGCAGCTGACCTCTGAAGATAAATCATTACAGCTGTCCTTTGAAGATAAATCATTACAGCTGACCTCTGAAGATAAATCATTACAGCTGACCTTTGAAGATAAATCATTACAGCTGACCTCTGAAGATAAATCATTACAGCTGTCCTTTGAAGATAAATCATTACAGCTGTCCTTTGAAGATAAATCATTACAGCTGACCTCTGAAGATAAATCATTACAGCTGACCTCTGAAGATAAATCATACAGCTGACCTCTGAAGATAAATCATTACAGCTGACCTCTGAAGATAAATCATACAGCTGACCTCTGAAGATAAATCATACAGCTGACCTCTGAAGATAAATCATTACAGCTGCCCTCTGAAGATAAATCATTACAGCTGACCTCTGAAGATAAATCATACAGCTGACCTCTGAAGATAAATCATACAGCTGACCTCTGAAGATAAATCATTACAGCTGACCTCTGAAGATAAATCATACAGCTGACCTCTGAAGATAAATCATTACAGCTGACCTCTGAAGATAAATCATTACAGCTGACCTCTGAAGATAAATCATTACAGCTGATGAAGATAAATCATTACAGCTGACCTCTGAAGATAAATCATTACAGCTGACCTCTGAAGATAAATCATTACAGCTGACCTCTGAAGATAAATCATACAGCTGACCTCTGAAGATAAATCATTACAGCTGACCTCTGAAGATAAATCATTACAGCTGACCTCTGAAGATAAATCATACAGCTGACCTCTGAAGATAAATCATTACAGCTGACCTCTGAAGATAAATCATTACAGACCTCTGAAGATAAATCATTACAGCTGACCTCTGAAGATAAATCATACAGCTGACCTCTGAAGATAAATCATTACAGCTGACCTCTGAAGATAAATCATACAGCTGACCTCTGAAGATGAATCATACAGCTGACCTCTGAAGATAAATCATTACAGCTGACCTCTGAAGATAAATCATACAGCTGACCTCTGAAGATAAATCATTACAGCTGACCTCTGAAGATAAATCATACAGCTGACCTCTGAAGATGAATCATACAACTGACCTCTGAAGATAAATCATACAGCTGACCTCTGAAGATGAATCATACAGCTGACCTCTGAAGATAAATCATTACAGCTGTCCTTTGAAGATAAATCATTACAGCTGTCCTTTGAAGATAAATCATTACAGCTGACCTCTGAAGATAAATCATACAGCTGACCTCTGAAGATGACACTGAATAAAAGGTACACAACACTACACCAGAAAAGAATGTGTAGGTTTCTTTCCTGGCCAAGCTTCCTTGGCATATTTCTTCTTTTTTGGTTCTTTGCTGCCTTCTTCCATTGGAAATGCCACTGCTGGCATAGGATTGGCAGGAGCCACAGGTTCTGCCTCGACCAGATCTGGTGCCAAATTTGGCATAGGGAGTCCTAGTTTCTGAGCGATACTGATGGTACCTCCTGCACCTACCCCTGGCACATTCCCAAGATCAGCATATAAACTGGGTGTAGCATATGAAAAACTCTGTAGTCTTTTTGTAATATTGTCTGTCATAGAACCAGGATTCAATCCTCCTTCCAGTCTTGCTCGCTACACACAGGTAAAATGGACAACACAATTAAAAGAATAATCAGTTATTTTCAACAATAATGTTTTTACTTTTAACTGATTTATAAGTTTATTTCACATTTTGACACTAGTAAATATTTTATAAAATCAAAAATCTATTGAATCTGTTAGAAATCATTTTTACATCTAGCTTGAGGTAGCAATGAAAATTCAATGTATTATGATGTCATTTAGCTACAGACAATACTGTCACTACAGTACAACATGTCCAACAGATTAAATTCTATCAAGACATTCCTTTAGCTACATTTTCTTTATATTAATATCTGCTACATAAAAACTACGTAATTAATCTATGTATTTATCAACAACACAAAGTGAGGATTGTTTAAACAAACAATTATTATAGAGATGTTGCCAACCATTGTATGACCTTTATTAGGGGTATATACATGTAAGTTTGAATTTTCCCCTTTTTGCTCTTATTTTTCTTATATTGACTGGCGGATATACAGCAATATCATTACACAAAGGAAACTGACCAATGAAATTTGAGAATGACCCACCATTTTAATCACTTGCAAAATTGACGAAACCACTATATGAAATCAAAGAAAGATCCAATCAGAACTTTCCTAATCTACAGACATAAACAATAACTGTCAAAATCAAAGATGGCTGTCTGTTGGCCATTTTGTAGTCCGATTTTTCTCAAAATCAAGAATGAATATCTAGGGACCAAGGGAAACATACATATGAAATTTGAGAATGATCCAACCAGTTCTTCTCAATAAATATCTATAATAGTCTAGAGTTATCAAAATTCATGCTAGCTGCCTGCCACTTTGTTTTTCTGACCAGTCCCAAATTCTGATCTGTCCCAAATATAGACAATGTTCAACTAGGATCCCAGAGGAACCAAAATATGTAACTTGATAATGATCTATTCAATAACTTTAAAGAAATACTGACGACTAGAAATTTCTTTTAGCTATTCTGGTTTTTCTGATTTGTCCAAAATATAGGCAATGCACAATTACAGACCAAGAGAAGTCTAAATATAAAATTTGAGAGTGAATTACTTGTATTTCTCAAAAAATACTGATAAAAAGCTGTTGAAATTCAAGATGGCCGTCTGTCAGACATTTTGTTTTCCTGATCGATGAAAAAACTAGCATCACATCTAGGGACCAATAAATGTGAAAATTCAGAAGGCTAATCTAAAACATGAAAATGGAGACAGAATGAATTATCTACTTACCTTTTTAGGTATTACTGTTGTTTGTACAAGGTTTCTAAAGCGCCCCACTGATGGATCTATGTCCTCTGTTAATACAATTCAAATTATTTCAAATCATATCAAAACAGTGCATACATTTAATAGCTTTGAATTCTCTAAATTTCAATTAAGATTCTCCAAACCAACCTTTTTTTTGCCTGCAATCTAATTAAAAGACTAACAATCTTTTCCGACAAATACTATAAGTTAATCTATTGCTCCTGATTTTATCCATTGAGGACTTTTTTCTCATCGCTCAAAATCAATGTTCCGTGGTAAGTAATTAAATACTTGGTTAATTTTACAAATAAAATGCTTGATCATTTCATAACTGATTCAATATTCTCTAAAAAACATGAAACTTATTGTTCTACAGCTGGAACAATGAATCTCTAACATCCTATCCGCCTGATTCTGGGTAGAGATTCTTCTGAAGACTCCTATAACACAGAAGGACATTACATGTATATATGTCTCTATTCATCAAGTTATTTAACAAATCAAATCTGTATTCACACCTGGATTAATCACTTCATCTTCCTCCTCAAAATTAACATGCATGGATTTATGTTTTCTCTTCAAAGGATTGGCTGAGTTCTTTTCGTTAATTTCTACCATTGCAGTCACCCGCCTGTTGTGGGCTGTATTAAATTCTGTTAAATTCTATAAAAAGGAAACAAATAAGTATCTTAATATTTTCTGTAATATTATTTTTGGTCGTTGATATGAAGCATGAGATAAGAAACATGCCTAAATAAGCCATTTCAGCACAAAGATTCTTAAAACCAGTAAATAACTGTAAAACTACTCACATATAAAACAGAGTCAGGTATAGAAATTAAATCTGTTGAGAGGTTATCATGACATTACTTTGTATTGGGAGTGTGACAAGATGGAACAGATGGAGAAATGGGTAACATCCCTCCTCCATAAAATGGCGGGGACTTTTACATAGGTATATGTAATTAATGTTATGTATAGATACCAGTTCATGTTGTACAAACTTTTACCAGTGAAATGTTTAATCACTTATGTTTAAGCACTCATCTCCATCATTGTTATCTAATGACAGTAACAGGGATCATACTACCTTTTGTTTTAGTCATCAAATCACATGTATAAACCTTTCAGCAGTTGTTCTATATAGTTCCTCTACAAATGATTTATGAATATTCTCAAGATATTTTGTTTAGTTGAAATAGTCACTTTTTGTTTCTTTTCACTCTATTATTTGTAAAGGTTACCACAGTAGAAATAATCTAACTTTATTTAGTTTAGAAAACAACAATTCTACATAAAAGTCAATTTTGGACCACATCACTTGACATAAAATATATTTCAGCCTACATCTAACTCTGTTTCTGACTCTGGCAGACCCATAAGTCCTCCCTCCAATTCATCTGCTCGTTTGTCCTTCTCATCTCCTAGGTTGGAAGTGATCTGAGGACGTTCTCGGATGATGTAAAGACGAGTTGATGCCCCAAAGTGTAACTCACTGTCCAGAGGGACCTGCTGAGGCTTTTTTGACTCCAAACGAATATGTCCAATGAACGTGCCATGAGCTAAAACAAATATGAATTCTTTTCTATCATTATGGTACCTATAAAACTTCTACCATACTTACACATGAACACCTTACGTTTGTTCTTAAAAAAAGCATACATACCTGGTAGGTTAAGGAAACAGTATAACTATATAGACAATAACATAGAGTTGGTACATAGTGTCCTACATTATTTTGTGAACACTGAATACAGTTGATACCACACAGAAGTACAGGATTACTTACTACTGCCCAAGTCTATGATGAATGGTCGGGATAAATGCTTGTGCCAAATTAGTGCTGCATGAACTCGTGAACAAGACTGATGGTCAATGCAGAAATCACACATCAATTTATTTCTTCCAAAAAAGTAGCATTTTTTCTCATCTATCATCAGTTTCTGAAAGAAAAATAACTAGTGTTTATTTTATGTGTAAAATAAATGAAGCATTTTTTAAAAAATAGGACAGACCATTAACACACACTTGGCGATTCTTTTTCTGTAAATATGTTACACAATTTGTAAACTTTAACAAATTTCATAAAAATTGATGGCAGCGCTTCCTCATTCATTGGAAAGTGTACTTTCATTGCAGAATAAATGGGTCCTTTAATGTATCTTTGAATTTGAAACGGGTCTGTTGTAATGTTTTAATGTATCTTGTATGCTGATCAGTATAGCTAGAGATGAGTTACACTTCTGACTTTTTGGCATGTTTGGCTATAAATAACATGTTGTTTATTCTTCAAGACAACAGCTGATACATAGCCATTTTCCAGTTGCCAACAGTAATATGATTATATAAGCATGGTCAGGAAATAATTTTTATGTAGCACTCGTGTTAAAGTAATGTTAAATACACTATACACTATGTATAGATAACATAACCTCTGTTCAAGTGCAATAGAATACAGCTTTGTGATATTAACCCAAATTTCAGTCATATTTTCAGAAAAGTGTATTTCTGATACATCACCCTTGTAAATTTGTACATGCACCTTGTGTATGTTATAAACTAAGGATACCTGGTCTATTATCTGATTGATAACACAGGTATACCACTTCCAAGGAAATAAATAAAGTATAATGGGATTAGGTTGTCCATATATCTGTCCATCAAAACTCATTCCATCAAAGTTACCTGCCCATCTGCAACAGCATGCCTCGCATATCAAAGAATAATACACCTATTTATATATAATTTTTCAGGTATTTGCAAAGTTTTCAGTAAGAACAATTAAAAGTATTAACTCATTAACTAAATAAATTGTCCTTTTTTAACTATGAAGCTTGCCTCAGATTGAAAGTTGACTTGTTTTCTAAAACAAAACATGTTCTATATAATACCAAAAGTGCAACTTTTGGTTTAGACTATTATTTTTCTAGAGAGTTTTCCCCCCTTTTAAAAAATTAACTAATGAAAATTGTTCAAAATTCTGTTTATTGCCTTCACAGATAATATTTGTAATTTCTTGTATCAGTTCTTCAGTCGTTATATATTATAATCTCTGGATTTATGTAAGCAATGATGATTAAACATTTATACACACCCTTGTAACTTCAAGTGATTGCTAGCTTCAGTTGCATCTGTTGGTTGAACTGTTTTTCCAGAACATTTTTATGACATTGTATCGGATAGACAATCCGACTAGTAGTTGATCCTGGTTCACAAAACATGCATGCACATTTATATTGGCGATATGGGAAAATAGCCTATGATTTTTCCTGCAGTAGAATATCAAATATAAGGTCATCGCTTGATAGAAATGGGCCAGCGTGTTAGTTTAACAGATGAACCAACGTAAGAATCATGCATGATGTTCTTTCCGTTGATGTTAATAGAATTATTAAGTGAAAATTAAGGAAACTTCTATGATGAACAAACCTGTATCATTTTCCCATCTTTTGTTACATCTAAATGAAGACCTGTTGGTGGTTTGCTGGCCCTGGAGGGAAACAAACAAAATGTTTTGAAGTCATGTGGTGTATCTAAAATACACTAAATAATATCAACTTGAACATATTTGATGAAATGGTAATTGTTTACAAGAGTTGACGTGTATAAGCTTGGGCCAAACAGTGAACATGTTATGATGAAAAAACACATCATACGAATTATGTTGTCGTCTGCCCTTCCTCGATCGTGCAACTGTGCATTTGAGTGATATTAACTAGTAAACAATTTGATCGACCAATGTAACCTTAGTAAATATATATGCATCGTCAATACATGATGCAATTTGGGTACAAACCATGAAGGTACTTCGAAGTTATTTATGAGTGGCCCACTGGAAGCCATCTTGCAATTGCAGTGACCCCTATAAATGAGTTAAAGGGGAGTAACTCGAACCAAGTCCGCGACGAATGGTGTGTAGAGCCCTACCTAAAGAATTATTTTATCTTTTATATTTACATATATCTGTTTAATAGATAAATCGTTGAAGTTATATGACTACATTGTATATGTAACATAAAGGAGGGGATCAATGAGACATAAAAAGCAAATTATTATAGCTTAAGTAATTCTGCTAGCTTTATAGATTATATTACGGAAAATGTCCATTAAAATCCAACCATTTGCCTTTGTGTAAGCAAGGATTTGGCGCCACACTGATAAAGATTTAACTTTATTCCACCGGATTAAAAAACACTTGGGGTATCACAGTGTTTGATACAATTGTTTTCGGTAAATGTCGCGTTTCTTTGATATATCCGTGTTTGGTTTGACCCAGAACAGTGACATTGCATCTTCTTAGTTTGCAAATACCAGTGCCGAGAAAGAAAGGACATTGTGAGAGGATAGTGAGGTACTGTTCTCATGTCCAACCTGTCATCTTGCAAATAACTTTAACATGCATTTTGCATTAAAAATACTGTAAGTAAATTAGTTGCTACTAAATGTATGTTCAGTTTTAAAATCATGCATTTTTCTACTACTGCTTATGTTGACAAAATTAATACATACTTTCAGAGAAAGTTGGTACATGTATAAAAGCACACGATTAGCTAACTCAAATTTAATTGCTGTGGCTTTACAAAGAGATATAGGTGACGGTATCATGCCCGTCTAACATACGTCTTATCCGCGTTTTACTAATTGGCTGTAGTTACTAATGATATAATTGTGAGAATGGTTGAGTTTCTGGTTTATATCATTGTTGAATTTGGCGGTAAGATATTCCAAGAGACAGTTGACATCGAAAATTTTCAAAACAGATAAAAAAGACGTCAAGTTCTTTCATTCATATTTAGGTACAAACCCATCCGAACTGGAAATCAAGTCCCCGATACACGGAAAAGGGACAGCTTTCCCACCAACCTGTATGCTATTTGTAGACATTTCGTTTCCCTCTTGCGAATTTTCCATTTCTAAAAATATACTAACACGTAGCCAATGCAGCATGGCATTATTCATCCCGATCTCTGGCATGTTCCTTCACAAAATTTATAAAAGGATCGTGAAGTTTTCATACCAGGCAAGTGATCCCTTCACTATGTCCTTCATCAGCAGAACAGTGGAAAGGAGCAGGCTTAGGATCTGTTACATAATGGTCTACCCGACAAGTGATCTTTTATTGTAGTATATGTTGTTAAACTATATAGGTAAATCTGCACAACAATAACTATCTAAAACCTGAAGTAAGAAACGTGACAACGTGACAGAAGGACTTCTCTATTGAAGATTTGTGTGTAGGAGGACAATTTCTGATGTAAAAAGTGTGTATCTCTATCCCTTTCCATCCAACTTTTCCTCTGCACACTCGACTTTAATTAAAAATGCAGAGTTCCAAACAATAATTGGATTACAACTTAAGCAAGCGTGACGCCGATGTGACGCTGATTGATAAAATTTCTAAGTCATAGCTTGCAAAGGTCATCAGGTGAACGCTATAACGTCTCTACAAAGTCGTAACAGCGACAAAGTGAATATTCCAATGTCGGGATATACCTATATGTATTACGCCACAGTAGTAATTCAATGACGTCACGTCAACATAGTAACACCAGCAAGATATTTGGATAAAAACATTACTTATCTAATTTCCCTTCTCTTACCGCGTTCTAGACGTTTATTCCCTTGGGGTTAGATAGGATCATCTCGACCAACCCTATCGATCATTTTGCTTCACCAGCATATCTTTATCTGACAGATAACACTCAACAAGAAGATATTGACAGTTTTATTACTCACGGATCAAAGGTACTGTACAAAAGACACACGAGTGAATGCAACACATTTTAATCAATGTATATTTAGAATATGATACAAAACAGCCAATATTTAAATTTGAATAGTTTGTAAAGGAAGCTTACCAACCACAGTCAATGTATCAATAGCTAGCTTACCAACCACAGTCTATGTATTTATAGCTTACCAACCACAGCCTATGTATTTATAGCTTACCAACCACAGTCTATGTATTTAAAGCTTACCAACCACAGTCTATGTATTTATAGCTTACCAACCACAGTCTATGTATTTATAGCTTACCAACCACAGTCTATATATTTATAGCTTACCAACCACAGTCTATATATTTATAGCTTACCAACCACAGTCTATGTATTTATAGCTTACCAACCACAGTCTATGTATTTATAGCTTACCAACCACAGTCTATGTAATTATAGTCAGATTACCAACCACAGTCTATGTATTTATAGCTTACCAACCACAGTCTATGTATTTATAGCTTACCAACCACAGTCTATGTATTTATAGCTTACCAACCACAGTCTACGTATTTATAGCTTACCAATCACAGTCTACGTATTTATAGCTTACCAACCACAGCCTATGTATTTAAAGCTTACCAACCACAGTCTATGTATTTATAGCTTACCAACCACAGTCTACGCATTGATGGTAAGATTACCAACCACAGTCTATGTATTTATAGCTTACCAACCACAGTCTATGTATTTATAGCTTACCAACCACAGTCTATGTATTTATAGCTTACCAACCACAGTCTATGTATTTAAAGCTTACCAACCACAGTCTACGCATTTATGGTAAGATTACCAACCAAAGTCTACGTATTTATAGCTTACCAACCACAGTCTATGTATTTATAGCTTACCAACCACAGTCTATGTATTTATAGCATACCAAACAGTCTATGGATTTATAGCTTACCAACCACATTCTATGTATTTATAGCTTACCAATCACAGTCTATGTATTTATAGCTTACCAACCACAGTCTATGTATTTATAGCTTACTAACCACAGTCTATGTATTTATAGTCAGATTACCAACCACAGTCTATGTATTTATAGTTTACCAACCACAGTCTATGTATTTATAGTCAGATTACCAACCACAGTCTATGTATTTATAGCTTACCAACCACAGTCTATGTATTTATAGCTTACCAACCACAGTCTACGTATTTATAGCTTACCAATCACAGTCTACGTATTTATAGCTTACCAACCACAGTCTATGTATTTAAAGCTTACCAACCACAGTCTATGTATTTATAGCTTACCAACCACAGTCTACGCATTGATGGTAAGATTACCAACCACAGTCTATGTATTTATAGCTTACCAACCACAGTCTATGTATTTATAGCTTACCAACCACAGTCTATGTATTTAAAGCTTACCAACCACAGTCTACGCATTTATGGTAAGATTACCAACCAAAGTCTACGTATTTATAGCTTACCAACCACAGTCTATGTATTTATAGCTTACCAACCACAGTCTATGTATTTATAGCATACCAAACAGTCTATGGATTTATAGCTTACCAACCACATTCTATGTATTTATAGCTTACCAATCACAGTCTATGTATTTATAGCTTACCAACCACAGTCTATGTATTTATAGCTTACCAACCACAGTCTATGTATTTATAGTCAGATTACCAACCACAGTCTATGTATTTATAGCTTACCGACCACATTCTATGTATTTATAGCTTACCAATCACAGTCTATGTATTTATAGCTTACCAACCACAGTCTATGTATTTATAGCTTACCAACCACAGTCTATGTATTTATAGTCAGATTACCAACCACAGTCTATGTATTTATAGCTTACCAACCACAGTCTATGTATTTATAACTTACCAACCACAGTCTATGTATTTATAGCTTACCAACCACAGTCTATGTATTTATAGCTTACCAACCACAGTCTACGTATTTATAGCTTACCGACCACAGTCTATGTATTTATAACTTACCAACCACAGTCTACGCATTGATGGTAAGATTACCAACCACAGTCTATGTATTTATAGCTTACCAACCACAGTCTATGCATTTATAGTCAGATTACCAACCACAGTCTACGTATTTATAGCTTACCAACCACAGTCTATGCATTTATAGTCAGATTACCAACCACAGTCTACGTATTTATAGCTTACCGACCACAGTCTATGTATTTATAATTAAAGCCACCTGGTGATTAAGAATATAGATGGTATAGATACAGAACATAACAAAGGATAACTACAAACATATATCAAACCATGAATTAAAAATTCGATATCCTGAGTGCCAGGAACTATCATCTACTTCTCCAGGGTTCAGCATGCTATCCAACAGCTTACAAAATAACTATATCACGATTGTCTTGCAGGGTATCGACTGACAATCTCATAACACAGGCCTTCGGGTCTTTCGAACTTACTTTCTGGACAAAGTTAATTCGCCGTTTCTTTACTGATGTACAGAGGACGGCTAGCATCTAGATATGGGTTAGCCATGTCTAAACCATTTCAAACCATTTTTTCAAAATTGAACGATAAAAGTCTGTTTGTTTTCTACATCGAGTAGCTTTTGTAATCTTAAAATGCCAATCAAAGTTTGGAGGAGTAGTTTTGCTCATAACAGCAGTCACAGAACGAGATGAACTAACAAGTATATGTATCTTTCCATTCTAAAAATAGTCACCGATAAGTTATACACAAGTACGTAATTTTAGTTGCATTCAACACCCATCCGAATACTGCATGCTTAACGCAAATCAACACAGCACAACGGATACTCTGTGTCAATTTACAAGGCTAAACGCCTGAAAATGTAGCATGGACTTGGGATGATCTGAGAACCCTGAACGGCAAGTCCTCGTTTGTTGGTGATTTCGACAGTGTCTCAGTCATTCACGTATTGTATCTACAAAGACAATAGTTACTACAGTTTACATATTGTAAGTTACACAATAGTGTATATAAATGAAATAAAAATTGTGAATGGTTTCCATCATGTTATAAAAAAAATCTGTTAAACTTTTATGTCTGAGAAATCCTAAATAACGTTTCTACATTATGTTAACGACATTTCACTCGTACTTATAGATTGTGTATTAACAAACCTGTTGGGGTAGGTCGCTGCAGCAATGCTGTGCCCATCACGAGGAACACGTTTCCTCTTTTTCTTCCTAGAAACAGAAAAAAGTCTTTATGAATACAATAAATGTGTATATATTTACATGTATATATATACCTGGGTTTGTTAGTACATTGGTGGCGTTTGGTATTTTTGTACTTTGTCCTGCAAATTGGTTAATCTTTTATTCATTATAATAACTTTGTCATGAACTCTATACTTTTTTCTGACACCTTGTACATGACGTCATTACTTAGAACAACAGGATAAGTTACCTCACACAGACAGCTACGATCAGGATGACAATGGAGACAAAGGCGGTGCACATTCCTAAGACGATGAGGACAAACACATATGTAACCCCTTGTTGGTTACTTCCCGATAGTTCCCTGAATACATCGTTCACATCGACAACTGTGTAAAGAAACGTGGTATATCATCTTCTTGCTACACCAATGTCTTCCCGTTTTTTGCACTACTGTATCTAATTCTAACTTTGTGTCGAAAGTAATATCACATACTAATGATATGTATGTGTTTAATTAATGGATATTGAATGATAATATTGTTTGCACTAAGTGTATTTACATGCTACATATCCGCTGTGTGATATTGTAAAGCCTGGGTGTTAATATATTTGATATTATACTGTAATATTGTAAATTCATTACAAGAGACTTGTGTTTCTATATTTAATTCTCATTTTGTTCTAAAAAATGTTGTGTACATGTATAGTCTTATTTAACTTTCTGTTTGTGTTTCTCGAAAATCTGCAGAACATACCGGTCTGTGTTGATGTGGGTGTGCCATTGGAGCAAGGTTTTACCCTATTTGCTGTGGAAATACTGAAATATCATATGTTGTTCATTGGAATACATGAAGCCATCAATTAATACACGGAGATCCTCTCCTCTAAATGACCCTGGCTGTTTGAGGGACGATACGGTTGCATAGTAGATATTATATACATTACAAAATTTTGAACAGAATTCACATATTGAGCGTATGGTTGGGCTGTAATTGTTTAAAATACAGGTATATCAAGAATTACTGCATTATTCCACAATATTCAAATGTATTTTTTAACCTGTAGCTTGAAACATGCGCTAATTGTGTATTTAAAATGTGGCCAGTAAATTGACTAACATTTGTTACACGAATTACCCTTGTATAGCTACAGCCTGCGGATCGTCACATCCGGAAATAATACAGTAACACTTGTTCTCACATTGTTATCATTTGTTATCACCTAAAACCATTAGTGTCATAAATCCAAAAGTCAAAGTAATGAATCCGTGGTCCAGCCAGTAAATAACATCTGATTGAGTGAATGGACAATTCTTAAGGACTGGCAAACAGGGAATTTGATCTCACAGCAATGTAAGATTATCTAGATGATTTTAAATCACTTGTGGTTAGTAATTGCTTTCTGCAGTAAACAATCAATCACACTACGTTACTGGGGTAATTTTAATCGAAGCATTGTGTTACCATTGCTGCAAGTTTGTCCCGAATAACCCTTTTCACATCCGGGTATGTTGCAGATTCCAGTCACGTGGTGACATCCCGGAGTCTCGCAACGGCATTCTTGTTTGCAGTTCTCACCAAAGTTTGTTGTTTTACAAGCTACAATAGACAATGTTATAAACTGGCATTTCACGGAGTCCTTTACTGATACCGGATGTTAAATGATAATAAACAAAATATTCATTTGATATTAATCAATGCATGTTATATTGAGTCCTCAAATTGAGTTTCTTCAAACAAGCTAGTTTCTTCTTAAATGGGCTATTGTAAAAGTGATGACTTCGTCCGAGTTAGTATTTAATTTCTAACTTTGTTCATGTATTATGGAATTTCAGACTGAGTGATTCTGACGTTCCGCCGGCTCCAGAACTATATAAAAAGAAGTTGATGGAACATAAGAACAATTCAGACTAACTAAAACTTTTTAAAAGCTTCACTTACTAAAATCACATGCAGGACCAAAGTAGCCAACTTCACATCCGGGCTTGTTACACAGTCCAATGACGAGTTCACATCCGGGGGTTGAACAGTGGCACGTGTGATTACAGTCCGGACCGAAAGAATTATTGTCACACCCTTTGAAATAAGCAAAACAATAGTTCGTAGTGAGTTAGGTCCCTTTGTAATAGTTAACATTGTAAGAGCGAAGGTTAAGCGCGTGCTCGTACATATTTACCTTGATTGCATTTCGGTCCTTTGTAACCGGCTGTACATCCGGGCACGTCACAAACACCGTCGTCAGGATTACAGCCAGATGCACAATGACACTTTTCCTGACAAGAATTCTGACCAAATCTGTTTTCCTCGCAACCTTTAGAAACACACATACCAATGCAAAATACTACTGTTTACTTGTACATAACATAATGTCTGGACGTTTAGTCATACAAACTGAAAAAAAACAAACAAACAATACTAGCAAACAATTAAACAAACAAAACACGATTACACAAATTTGTGAGGAATCGGAACGTGACCGTTTTTGGAACAACAGTTTTAGGACTTTGATAAAGGGCTACATGTAATACAGGTATAAATGGGTTTGATGATGTGTCTAAACCTTAATTGGCTTATCTACAATGTAAAACACTGAAAAAGAATACACCGACATGTCAATCTTAATGTAACCTCAAAATCAATGAAACGAGAAGAAAATGGGAAGAAAGAGTTATATGGATATCCTTGAAAACAGAAAAAGACCAGATGTTCTCTAAGGGTAAGCATCTTCTGACTCATCGACAACATCCGCCATGTAAATCTGGATCAAAGAAAGTAATTAACTTACGTTCCCAGATCAGAACGAGGTTAACAACAACGAAACGATATCTGACCTACTCTAGGGTATTGAACACCTCTAATTTCACACCATAATAATAATAAAAAATAAAAACAAAAAACAAAAACGAAAACAAAAAACAAAAAAATCAAGCAAAAAGCAACGCCTCCCTGTGATATCTTTATCAACCTGATTATTTTTCTAAAACAGTTATCTCTAATGCCAATTACTTACCGAAGACTTGGAACTCTACCAGTTCCGCAAACGCCTCGTAGGTGGCTGCTATAGACGATACATTGGTATAAAACGTCACATACCGTCCTCTCAGGGAACATGACAAAGTGACAGGATTAGCATGTACTGTGTCGAACAGACAAGGAGTCCCTTGCCGGAAGTCGGAGGCGTTGGATACAAAGACATAAAACCCGTGTGTACGATAAACTGGAAAAACACAAGGTTGAATGGTTAAGTCTTATATTTGTAAGTGTCGCTTTGGTCTCGATTTCATTCAGACTATTTCTGTATCTCCTATCTCCGGACCTGAATTTATATGTATTGGCCATATATTGCTTTTTGTCTAAAAACAATAGATTGCATTGAATGAAAACAAAGGAATAAAAGACCGCGATAAGATATTTCTGTAATATTATTTCTGTTCTATACGACGACAAGCATCAGCTATCGGGGAAATGGTACATTAATTTTCTATGCACTACTAATAACTTCCTACAAGCTAAAACAAAGATCTTGGAAAATTCTTCTGTGCCATGTTTACCTTCTAATTTATTGTATCAAAAGTTCCACATTTAGATTTGACTGAGATGACAAAAAAAATACCATTTTTTACAATTGTTGGTAAGCATAAGTACAATAACCGGACTTGAACATTTTATATGTAAGTAGAAATGATGCTTCATGAATCGAAAAGGTCTGGAAATTGCACGTTGATATTGCTAATATTGTTGAAGTAAACCCCTAGACAGGTGACATATTAGTGTTTTCAGTCCACATGACGGATGTGGAAGTTGTTAAAGTTACAGAGTATGAACGTGTGTTCTAGACTCGTGCAGGGTAAATCCTATTGAGAAAAGATACCAATTGTAATACATTGTAAACATTTACACGTGACGTCATATCGATGTAACGCCTCTACTCTCTGTATACGGGCGATGAACCCAAGGTCAACCTGGAGCCACGCCTCCTGTTGGTGATGAGGAGCTGTCATGGAGAGAGTGCTTTCATCGCCATCGATGGCATTACGAGCGGGAAAGCTGTTATCCACGTGATTACTGCTCTGTGATATTACTGTGGAGTTACGTCGCGAGAGGTTTTCTGCGAACAGAAAAATTGTATCCAGTAAATATGGAATTCTTTAAATCACGCCACATTTATATTTTTAACTGGCGAATTAATTAAAAAAAATAATACGTCATGTAGTTAATTACACCAAGCCTGAAGACATGAATAAGGCAAATTTGCAGTAATAAAACAAACACGTCGTAGTAATTAATTAACAATGAATCTAAATCAAGAAGCTAATTAATATGAATTTTCTTATTTCAAAAATTACGTTAAATTCAATATTACCAGTTCTATTCAAACATGAACACATGGACAATGAAAATATCCAATAATTTTACTATAAATATATTATCTATGGATTAAAATATATTTTCACTCATTATTGAAAGCTGTCAGAATATTGAAAAAGTCACGCAAAGACACGTCCGTCTGTTGTTAGCGGTCTAGCCTAACCAGATTTGAAAAAGAAGTCACACACAAGTATATATATACATATATATATGTGTGTGTGGTGTCTTTATATATATTTACATATTCACTTACCTGAACTCTCCCAACAGTTTAGTGATATTGAAATAAGGAAAACGTAATATAACCATTCACGTGCCATGTCAGTGAAATGGACGTTTTTTGCGGCATTCGCAGCTATAAAACTTCATAGCAGCAGTTAAAGAAAACATTAAGTAGACACACGAATTTGACCACTTCGTCCAACCCAATACAGATTTTATCTGACGTTATGTCCACAGGGACTCTAATTGACCCAACAATTCACATCGCACCGTGAGGTCACCTGGAGATATTTATTTTATAGTGTGTAAGGTGTTCGCTCTTACATCTCAAACATTCGATCAAAAAATATCTTATTTTGTTGCCTAAATATCTTTCGTATATATATTGACATGTATATTTTTTATAAACCATATATGGCCAGGTATATTTTTCATATGATGTCAGCTTACCTTATGTAATGTGTGTAATATGTAGGACAGTCAAATAAGGTATTTTAAAATTCAATTATCATTAGTTAACAAAAAGTCATTTACGATATGGATTTTGTTTCGGAAACTTGTGACTAAACAAGATATTAAATTTATTAGGTACGCGTTTCGTGGATGAATGAGCCATATTTTGTGACCTCATTTGTCTTTCCTCAAGATAGGATTGTTTAACAAAAGTTAGACAAAAAGAATCGCTTTCACACATATTGCATTTATATATGTAGGCGACTTATTTCTAGTTGACATATATTGAAGATATATCGATCTTGATGACCTGAATGTATTTAAGAAAATGTCGTAAGGTTTGCCGAGATTCTCGATATTGAAATATAGTTAACTTGTGTGCTTTTCGGTAACCACCTGGTGCTGGTTTCAATAATTTTGACAATTTACAACAATATGTATAAAGACAGCTTATATGATAATTAAAATTCTGTTGATATGATGGTATTTTCCTTTCATTTCTTAAAAGATTTGTATCTGAGAGAGAGAGAGAGAGAGAGAGAGAGAGAGAGAGAGAGAGAGAGAGAGAGAGAGAGAGAGAGAGAGAGAGTCGGGGGCAGAGAGAGAGAGTTTGTGTATGTGTGGAATACAGCCTAAACGAGATGTCCTATGTTTTATCGATATACCCATCTATCAGTCTTTGACAAGATCGAATCTGTGATTACCTTTACGAAATATCCCGAGGATATTGTAGGCTCGTCAGTTAACACCAACATCAGCCTGATACCATCACATTCCCTCAAGTCAGGTCAACTATAAGTTATTTCACCTTCTATAACTCCTTTATCATATACAATGTAAGTACACAGATCAAACAAAAACCTCACGTCTTTTACAGGCTATTCAGAAACTGGTCAATGGTTTGGAGAATCGTTCCGGTTGAATTAACATGGACCTTGGTAACGGTCTTCTCTAGGAATGTTTTATTGTCTGATTAACATAACTGATAACATAATGACATCATACCACAGACACTAACATTACTGTTAGTACAATATAGATTAAGTGATCTATATGTTTACATTAACAGGAAAAAAGGGATCTCAACGACAAGTAC